GTGCATGCCAGGGGCTGCTGTGTGTTGCTACACGCGTGGGCAATGGGTGCAGAGACCGTGTCCATGCACGCTGCGTGTGCAACCCACAGGAGGGGAGCGTGGTTCTTCTGGCCGCTCGGGCACCAGAAGTCGAATGCTCACTACAGCTGCCAGCGAGGGCCGGTGTGCCAGCTGTCCTGTGATGGATGTGCGCGCGTGTGCTTTTAATGCGGAGCAAGAGCGCGCAGACACACCGTTCCCAGGAAGAGACTGACTGCAGAGAAATCCCCGTTTCTCCTCTGAACTCACAACCGTTTGCTGCTTCCTCATGCCCTCTGCATCTATCGCACGTGCGTCTGCGTGCCGAAGCTGGGCACGTCAGCAGCTGCGTGCACCGGAGGCAGCACGTGTGCGTGCACATGCATCTAGCACGGTCATGTAGCGAGAGACCCTGATGACCCGCAGGCGTGTCGGCACACACGCCGGACGGCGCCGAGCGTGTCACTATGGATGGGTCTGTCTGCGTGGGGGGACGGAGCCATTTTTCCCTGGCAGACGACAGCAGCCCGCATGGGCCGGGCGCTCTCCTCACATCCATCTCCCTCCCTGGGTTTTTTTTTCTTCTTTTCTATCCTTTATTCATTTTCTCGATGATAAACAAAGCCATTAGTTTGTCAAGTCTATCTCTGGATGTTAACGCGATGCACCCGAGACATCTGTTAAACACCCTTAATGTTAGTTTAACAAGGACAAATCCAGGCGAGTTCCCGGCGCCGTCTCCCATTAGGTGAGCGCGGCGGGCTGGGAACACGTCCTCGCGGATAAACGGCTCCGCTTCCAGCGGGGACGGGGGGCCTGGGCCCACCTCGCGCGGGTCACACTTCATCACTTTTTACAAGCCCCTGAAATCTCTCCGGAGAGGCTTTGAGCCGTTCAGGGCCTGACCGCTATCCTGGACGTCCCACCGCCTTGAGTTCGAGGCATCCTGGAGTGCCTGTTTCAGGCTCTCTGCAGACTCAGGCAGCTGCCCACCGTGCCCTCTCCCCCCATCCATCCTCACATAGACAGCGTGAACCTGGGATGTGATTCTGGTCTTACAGGCACTGGGCACCGGTGCCCCATCCTGCCCTATGTTGGCATCCCCAGGGCCACAGCAGGGTGTCTCTAGGCCCAGAAGCGAGATGGTGACTGGGCAGTGGCCGAACGGAGAGCACGGGGCACGTGGTGGGTGCAAGAAAGGGTCCTGAGCCTCCCTCCACTCTCCTCCTTTGCTTACTATTGCCTGTGCTCATCCCCTCCCCGAGAAGACTGTGCATCGCGCTGCATGATAATTCAATTAGGGGCTAGAAACACAACGAACGTGTCCGTGCCACGGTTGAGGCATCAGCAGGTTGACAAGGGGCTGCTAATCCCGCCGCGGTCGGTCGGGGGGTGAAGGGGGGCAGGGAGCTCTCTTTCCCCGGTACGACAGCAGCCCGCGCCGCCTGCCACCCCGGCCGGCGCTGCCAGCCCGATAGCATTCATCAGATCCGTATCTCCCTCGCGCAGACACCAGCCAATTCGCTTCCAGGGACCCCTTTTAACTCTGCCATGAATATTAATCTGCTGTAATTGCTGCGATAAGGTTGATGGAGCTGGCGCTTAATGGGACCAGCCCCGCGCGCCGGGGCTGGGAGCGCGCGGGCGGTGTGGGGGGAGCATTCGCAGGCTTGTCGGCAGGTTGGATCCCACCAGGAAAAAGAGGGGGATATAGGGCAGATCGCCTTGAGGTGTCTGGGGAAATCTCCGAGGAAATCCCCGGGGGAAAAGGGGACAAGGCAGGGAAGAGGACAGGCATCGCCGGGACGTACTCACATGCGACTGCTGGGGGGGATTTTCCGGCCGTCACGAAACCAGGTGACCTGGGGCTGGGGGAAGCTGGCGATGTGGGGGGCACGGATGACGGCTGCCTCGCCGTGCGACACGCTCTGTCGTGCCTCGCTGTCCTCGAAGCTGCCCATGTCTGCAAGGCAAAGGGAGATGCGGCGGTCGGGCAGGGGGTGTCCTGCGCACCGCTGCCCTGCACCCCATGCAGCTGCTTGGGAGCAGAGAGGGGACCTCTTTGCAGCGCCCGTCCATGCTCCGGTGCAATCTCTCCGGGGCTGGGTCCGAACAGGCCACGGGGCTGCAGTGCCTTGTGGAGGGTCAGGCTTGGAGGGCTGGGGTGCAGCCCCCGGGACAGCCCAGCCCAGCCCGGGCATCGTTAGAGACGCACGCGCTGTCCTGCCCTCCCGCGGGGGATGCCGTGGGGATGGGGGGATCCGACAGCACCCTCCGTGCGATGCCCGAGGTCAGAGCCGCCCTCCGCCCGCGCGCTGGCAATTTATAGCCTCTAAAAATAAATAACTGAGGAGAAACCAGGGTAGGTGGGGGGCATGGGGGGGGGGATTTTTATTGACTTCCCTTAATTGCGGTAATTAAAAACATGTAAAGAATCTTTTTTTAACGACTTTGCCATTATCATTAGTTGTTAGCGCAGCTGCCTTATTAATTTCTCATTAGCTTCCTGATTTGTCATCGCTCTTCAGGAACGGGGTGTGCTAGCACCTCTGCGGGACCCCGACGGGGGGTTGCTGATGTGGGGAGGGGAGCGAGGCGCTGGGTGCGGGGCCTGCTTGCACCGCAGGTCTCTGCACTCCCGGAGGCACGTGGGACGCAGGGCCCCGCGGCTCTGGCCATGTTCAAATCCAGCCCGGAGCAAAACAGAGCCCCCCACTGCACCGTTCCCCTTGAAAGGACTCGCTGGGGCTGGGTGCATTTCCCTCCGCCCCGTGCAGGCGTGCAGTAAACCCTCCGGAAAACTGGCGCGAGCGGGTGATCCGTGCAGGACCCCACGGTGCTCGGAGCTGTACGTTGCAGCCGGGCTGGGGCATGACTGCAGCATCCTTCTCCCTGCTTTACAGGGCAGGATCAAGCCCCAAGGGGCACGGTGACTGGCCCGAGGAGGTGCGGAGCCGGGGATTGCACCCCAGGGCAGCATGGTGCTGGGAAAGGGCCCCAATCTGGGCAGAGCTCAGCCCACGCCAGCTCCTCGCGAGGGCAGGGAAGATTGCAGAGTCGGCCAGGCCTCGGGCTCCCAGCGCACGGCGGGAGCCCGATGACAGCTCTCCATCCATCACGGCGGCACCGGGCGCCCGAGCTGCCTCCCCGCTGATGGATGCAGGCGCTCGCCCGCTCGCTCCCCGTAACGATTACAAACAGTGTTTGCTTTGGGAGCCGCGGCGGAGGAGATGCCTCCTGCTTCCAGCCTGAACCGGGGTGGGAGTAACCCAGGGGGGCGCGGCAGACCCCCCCCCCGAACAGGCGTCACTTACAGGCCACCTGCACCTCCGTCTGCCGCTGCAGCAGGGCCCCCATGCGGTTGCGGACGATGCAGCGGTAGAAGCCGGCGTGGGTGCGGTCCAGCGACGTGATCATGTACCTGGCGTGGGGCAGAGAGACACAGCGGTGATGAGATGCTGGCACGGCCCGGGTGTGGGACACCGGGGCTGCCTGAGATCCGGATACCCTTCCCCGGGTGGCGGTAGCCCACCCTGTGCCCAGCAGATGTCCAGCAGCGGGGTGGGAGGGGGAAGGGCACCCCCTCCTAGGGGCAGCGTGCTGCCCGCTCCTCCCACCGGGTGCCCAAAACCCCACGGCCAGGCCAGGCTCCCGGCCGGCCGCTAGGTGTCAGCGCCGGCCCCGTACTTGGCAGCCGCGGGGAGGGTTACTCAAGGTCAAGGGCAGCCTCCAGCCCAGCCTCCCTGCGGCTAGCAGCATCCTGCCTGCCCGGCCCTTCCCCGCGGCTCGCCCGCCACGGTGCCAGGCCCCGCGTGCCCATCCTTGAGCTTGTGGCACCCTGGCCGCATCCATCCATCCCGCAGCAGGGCTGAGCCGGCTGAGAGGGGAGCCCAAATCCGCCCCATCTCTCCCCCTGCTCTCTGCACCGGGGCTGTCGGGCTGGCACCACCCCTGCGATACCCCCATCCCGGTTCGGGCAAGCCGTGCCCGAGATCGCAAGCTGCAGGCAGGGGTGGGTGGCAGGGAGCAC